AACACAAGCTGCTGCCTCCATTTCATGTTCTCTGTGAGAAGGGGCATGAATTTGTTGCCCAGGTTAAATCTACATACAGTCCTACTCATGTCCAGTGCCCCGTGTGGATACCCAGTGGTCCCTCTGAGCCTGACCTCTACAAGTCGGAGATAGAGGTCCAGGATGCAAAGCTAAAGGGCCTCCTCCAGAGCTCTGCTAGTCAGGACACCCAGAAAAAGAAGGCCTCCAAAACTACAGAGAATGCCACCAGCGGGGAAACACTAGAAGAGTAGAGCTGGGGACAGAGGTGAGTCCCATATCCCCAGGTTGCTGCTCTTGCCTCATCCCTCCTGCCACACTCAGGCTCTGAAGTGCGGTGTGACTTCTCACTCAGGGCCATAGAGCAGAACGGGGTCTCCCTGCCCCTCTCCCAGCTCCCAGCCCGCTCCTTACATACCAACAACCAGCTCCAACTGACTCTGGTCTTCACCGGGCCAGGCTTCCCAGCCCCTGAAGACTATTTAAATAGAAAATAATAAATTGAGGGCTGGGGATACGGCTCAGTGGCACAGCACCTGCCTGGCAAGCATGAGGTCCTGAGTTCAATTCCTGGTACAAAAAAAAAAAAAAGGAAGAAAGAAAGAAATCGAATAATAATAAAATCAGGAGTCAAAAATCCATCATCTTCGAGTTCCTCTTTCTGGCCTTTTTGTTATTTTGCCTGGTGAAGTTTGTGGCCCTACAACAGAAATCAGCCACCACCACTAAAAAGCTCAGCTGAATTTTTTTCATACTACTCTGATGTCAGAACTTTCTCATCAAGTGGAGCTTTTTCTCCTCTCTTGTGTCACGCTCTCCCCAAGTATTTTATCTACCCTCAAAATTAAGAGGAGCTGTTCTTCAAATGGTTTGTATTTCATGTGGCAGATTCCAAATGTGATCCAAACTGCCAAGTCAGGCTCTTCCCATTTTTTTAGGAGCTGAAGTCTCCATTTATGAAGAGACTGTCATCTATCAGCTGGATCTTGGCTTCTGAATCTTTTTAGTCATTTTCTTCTGCAGGGTCTTTTTCCCTCCCCATTTTCACAAAGCTGTAAGGAAATAGTCCATCTTGACTGTGCCCTGTTCTCTGGAGTCGGTGCGGCCTTCTCTCACTCTAGCCTACACAAATCTAAGCGGAAGTTCAACTGATTTCTTCCCTGTTTCAGATATTTTGACTTGCCCTCCTTGGAAAAACAAACAAACAAACAGGTACCTGGGGAGCAGACTGACTTGAAGAGACAACTGGCTTTCTGAAGCTCTTTGGATTGGATGAATTCCTGGGGGTTTGTAGGGACAGGTTGCACATTTCAGTACCTCTGCCATGCTCTCTGAGGGAACTAGGGCTCCCACTGATTTACAAGGTTTTTAAACACATTGAAAATGACATGGCATTAAAATAAAGTTCGATTTGCTCATAAAAACAAACAAATAGGCCTGAGGATGTAACTCGGTGTGAAAGTCATGGGCTTAATCCCACGGGGGAAGAAAAAGGAAGAAAAATAGTTTTTGAAAATACAGTTACTGCCGAGTGTGCTGGTGCACTCCTGTAATCCTAACACTTGGGAGGCTGAGGCAGGAGGATCACAGTGAGTTCTAGACCAGCCTGGGCTACAAAGTGAGCTCAAGGCCAGCCTGAACTGCATAGTGAGACCCTGCCTCAAAAAGACCAAAAAGAAAAGAAAAGAAAAGAAAAGAAAAGAAAATACAGTTATTGAGCTGGGTGTGGAGGCATACACCTATAAGCCCAGCACTCAGGAGGATGAGGCAGGAGGATCGCTGTGAGTTCAGGGCCAGCCTGCACTACTACATGGCAAGACCTTGTCTCAAAAACAGTCATTAAATTTGAATATTGTAAGAATTTTTTGATGATTCTAGTTGCCACTGCTACTCTTGAGCAGTTTCTTGAATCATCAAAAAATTCTTACAAAGTTGTGTTAAAATATTATAAGAACAATTTGCATTTTAACGGAAAGGCAAGAAAAAAATTATGGAAGAAATATATAATCTATGAATCATTGATCAATTTTTAAAACAATCTTTTTTTTGAGACAGGGTCTCTGCCCAGGCTGAGCCCAGGATAGCCCAGGCTGACCTCGAACTCACAGCAATCCTCCTGCCTCACTCTCCTGAGCGCTGGGATTACAGGTCAGTGCCACCGTGCCGGACTAAATCATTTATCTTTATTGCCTTGCTACCTTGTCTAAACATCCCTGGTCCACCAAGAGGATCCCTACCCCTGTGCGAGATTAAAAACATTCCTTCAGCTCTGATATTTTGCCAGCTTTATATCATGTAAAATACATAGCTTCACAGATATTTTTCATTTTTGTTATTATGAGTGTGTGTCCGTGAAACTAAGAGGCAAACATTTTATTTCACAAAGTGTAATTACATTTATAGCTTTTAAATAGGCACGTGGTATGTTGCATTTCATCTTTTCCTGAGCCCAGGAAATGTCAGAGACGGGTCTGGTCCTAACCTCCTGGACCCTCGGGACCTCAGCTTTATTTTCTGAGGAAGGAGGAGAAAGCGTGAGTTTACAGAACCGGGATGAGCCGGACACCTGGTGCGTGACTGGCGCTGGGCAAACATGGCTCTAGAAGTTCCTTGTCGCGAGGAGGAAATCAGCGGTCATGAAGTAGTCTGGGGTTTGGCTTGCTTTATTCTTCCTTGCAGGGGTGCAGGGGAGACGAGCGTGGCTCGGGGTGAGGAAGGTGCTGAAGGCATCACGAGGGCGCGTGACGGACGGCGCGGGTGGGAGCCACAGTCCCAGGGGCGATAGTGGAAAGCGGAGGGATCCCCATCCGCCCCCGCAGAAAACACTCCAGCTATTGGAGGTGTGTGTGCCTGCGTGTGCCTGCGTGTGCTCGCGTGTGCCCGCGTATGCGGAGGGGATCAGCTCCGACTCCTGCAGACAGCAGCACACATGACGAAGCTCCTTCCCCTCCCGCGGACCAGGGCGCACACGCGCGCTCCACGGCCACGCCCGCACACCCTCCGCGCTCGCCGGGCTGCCGGGGGTCCGGTTGCCATGGCGAGCAGGAGCGCGTGAGCCCGCCAGCCCCTCCCGCCCCCGGCCGAGCCCGGTCAGCTCCCACTCTGATTGGCCGCCGCTCTCTCATTATGCAAATCGTTTGCGTAGACTCCTCAGCCAGCTGCCTGACGTCACCAAGCACGGGGCTGGGGCTCGGGGCTCGGCTCCCGGAGCTCGGGCGGGAGCCCGGAGAGCGCCGCGCGGGGACCCCCGGCCGGACCCCC